ATCCCTTGGTTGTGAAAGAGTTTTATGCCAATTTGCAAACCTCTTTTTTAAAGAAAAACTCTCCAAACTTTGGCAAAGTTTTTGTGCGCAATGCCATTTATTCTTTTTCTCCCAAAGTTATCAACTCTCATTTACAGACTCCTACTGTGATTGATGAGGATAATTATGGTGATTTTACTGAGATTTGCAAAGTTATTTCTGGAAACCGTTTAAGAAATTGGCCTGCACACCCAAGAAAATTTCAAGTCTCTCAACTCACTGCCTTCTACTCTGTCCTGTTTAGACTCACAGTGGCTAATTGGATTCCATCCAAAAATGTCTCTGTGGTAACTAAGCCTCATGCTGTACTCATGTACAAATTGGGGATGGGTTTACCAGTGGATTTTGGCAAACTGTTCTTTGATACTATTGGTCATCTTGCTCAGAAAATTTCACCCTCCACTCACCTCCCCTATCCTTCTCTCATCTATTCCATCTTACTCTCTCAAAACTTGGGCCAAGATGACTCAGAATATCTTCACACCCCACAAGGCATGATCACTGTGTCTCAAAATTTTCTGAGGGCTCCTCATGTTCAAGATCTTCCTTGGAATGGAGATAATTTTCTCTCAAGTGAATCAGGTCAAAATAACCTTGGTACTGAGGGTGTTGCACCTCATGTTGACAACACTTCTAACCTTCTTGTGTCTGTTCCTAGAGATCTTCTCTTGCAGCAACTTACTCATTCTCTAGCTCAGATTACCTATCATCAGTCCATGGTGGAGCTGATTCAGAAGGCTCTTTCTGATCAAAAAGGGGGAGAAAAAGTTCATGAGGCTGAAGCAGGAACATCTCACCCTTTAGATACCAGAGGCAGAAGGCAAGGAGTTAATGAAGAAGAGGCAAAGAATGAGGATGAAGAGGAGAGCAGTGGATCCAGTGCAAGTGATGGAGGAGCAGAAACAATATTTTGATTTTGTTCTTTTTTTTTATTTTCCCCTGAACTTTTAATTAGGACTGCACTTTGATTATTTCTTGTTTAAGTTTTTGTATTGTTGGACTGTCTTGCTGAATTTGTTTTGAATTGATTTTTCTATATTATTTTTGGTATGTTCAAATTCAGGGGGAGTTCAAGCAATATCTCAGGGGGAGTTCTAGCTAAAATTTAGTTTTGATCAGAAAGTTAAAAAGGGGGAGTTTGAAACACGTTTTTGTATTTTACAAAAATGTTTTTAACTCTCTTAATTTCAAACTAAATTTTAGTTATTACTTAGTGGGCCAAGTGTTATCACTTAGTGGGCTAAGTGTTGTGACTTAGTGGTTTTTATTCTAACTTCCAACTAACCCACTAACCCATTATCTTGAGTGCTCTTGTGGTTGGTTTTCTTGCAGATCATGGGCTGAAGAGTGGAAGCTTGGCAAGTCTATAAATACCAAACTCAAGACTCAAGATTATTACAGATTTCGAGAAAACAAAATAGAGAGCTGAAGTTTTAATCTCGAGAATTTTAGTGTGTTTTCTAGGATCTGTTGTACGTACTATTTATAAGTACATTCTTTGAAATCTAGAATTTTTGATATCTTTCTTTTAGTATCTAGATTTGGTTGTAAGAGTGATCTTGAAAAAGATTCACTCATAAGGAAGAAGTTTTCGCACTCTTCTGTTTGTATTCTTGGAATACTGATTTTAATATATTTTCCGTCCTGTAAAGGGCAAGTTCACAAGTCTTTACTTGTGAACATTTTTAATTCTGAGTATTGTTCTTTTGTCTTTATATTTCCGCTGCATGTTTGTTCAAGTGTCATAACACCTTCAACAACACCTCTGTATTAAACGAATTCGGGACCATAAATTCTTTCAAAAGATTTAATTCATAATTATAATTGAAAATGGTTTTTGATAATTTTTTGAGTTTGTGAACTGAATTTTATTTTTTATATGATATTTATGAGATTTGTATAATAATGGTTTTCTTTGTATGGAATAATAGGCTAAAAGGGGTGAAATTGTCCAGAAATTCGAGAAAATATGGTCAATTTGCCACATCAGCTTTGACTAGCGGAATGGTTAAGAGCAGTGGGTTGTTTGTAGTTTTAGATACTATAGGGGGTGAATGCGAATTTTTCCATAGTACAGGGATGCAAAGTGTATTTTACCCTAAAATAAATAATTAAAATATTTCCCGGCAACGATGCCAAAAACTTGTTGGTGGTAATACCTACACGCAAGTGCACGTATAGTACAAATAATAAAGTGGATTTTTTAAGTCCAAGTATCGATCCTGCAGAGAATATTTAATTATTTAATCCTAGACGCTAATCCTAGCAATTATGATCAAGCCCACCCTACACAGTCGACTTTACAGAGAATTAACTAAATTAAAATAAATTAAAAAACAAGCAAAAACAAGAAAGCAATTTAAAACGAAGATTTAATCAGAGAAAACGAGCCTAGGATTTTATTTTTCCCCCCTATGTGATTATTATTCCCCCAATTCTTTCAATTATGCAAGCAATTAACCCGAACTATTAAACTGAGATACTAAATTAATAATAACCCGCTTATGTGTGTATTACGATTAATACTCTAGATTCAATCATTGTATTCCTACGCAATTAATTCCAGAACACAGCATTAAGCACAAATATCACTAGTGGCTACCTAAGAGATTAACTATATTCCTATGTTAATACCACAAAGGCTCTTCTACCACAAATTTAAATATTAACCTGATCTTCCGATACCTGCGATTAACAATAACATAAAAGCACATAAAGTGTTCAGTTTCATGAACTTAATAAAACAAGTAGAAGAAATAATCCGAAATTAAAACTTGCATAAAATCATAGAAAATGTTCGTAAATCCCACACAGGGTTCAAAATAAAATCCTAGAAATAAAGACTTAGCTACTCGTGATTCTTATGGTAAAGAAAAAAAAAATTAAATAAGAAAAACTATGCTTGAATCTTCGCTGATCTTCTTTGCTCTTGAATTTGCGTAAAAAGATGGATCCTCAATTGTGTGATTGGCTTGGTCTTATATAGGGTGAAAAATTTGGAAAAGAAGGTAGTTTTCTTGTGCAATTATGATTCATTTACTGCGCCTCTTCGTAATCTCGGACGGTCATCCCGAATTTTGTACTAAAACTCGGACGGCCATCTCAAAAGCAGAAACTGCCTCTGTTTCTCAGACGGTCGTCTCAAAAGCAGAGACCGCCTCTGTTTCTCAGACGGCCGTCCGGGCTATATTTCATCAGATTTTTGACTTCTTTACTTTTAGACCATATTTTCTTCAAAATTGCAGTTTTTACCCTATATTTTTCCAATTTTTCAATTTGTACCTAAAAGACAAGCACCAATTATCATTAAAATACACCAAAAGCTCCAATTAAAAGGTACGTTTAAGTGCAAAATTAACAATCAGACTGAACTACCGGAGTGAATATGTTGTGTAATGATATTGATATGAGTAAACTGTAAAAAGTAGTTTGGTATAATCTCTAAATAGTAAAATTTTCTCTTTGATAAATAAACTAGCAAAAACCCCCCCTGTGAATTTTTTTTAAAAGCAGAAATCTTCCGGCTTAATTTCGCGAGTGAAAATCTGCCGCTAAATTTCGTGTGGTTCATTCGCTGAATGTGCGGTTGGTAGCTGGTTTTTGGACATAAAATGATGAAATTGTCCCCCAAACTGTATTTATATGTATATATTTTCTTTTTAATTTGATTGTTTAGAAATTAAAAAATTAGTAAACAATTTAACTGAAAAACTATTAAAAATTTGGTAATTAAATGAAGTGTAAGTTTTTTTAATACAAAATAAAGAAATACATAATAATGGTATTTAAGTTTTCTTTTGACGTAGAGATAATTTAAAATAGATACATAAATTATATGATAATAAAAAAAAATCCCATTGTACTTTTATAATTAAGATATAACAAAAATAAAATAATGAATATATTTATAAAATATAAGAATTTAGTAATTACAAAACCTCGGGGTATTTGTGTCTTTTTATATTAAATCAACACTCAAGTGAATAATGGGCCAAGTGTGCTATATAAATAATTAGGTTAATAGCATTTTGCCACCTGAACTTTGCCTGTTTTTGCACTTTGCCACTTTAACTAAAAAAAGTTGCAAGGGCACACCCAAACTCACTTTTTTTACGCACATGACCACCTAAGTGGAATATTCCAACGAATCTTCTCATTTTTCGGTGCACGCGCGATCACTACAACAAATAAGTGTTTTAGAGACAACACAAGTTGTCACATTAGATCATAAAATTGTCACAAATAAGATTTCGTGCAATATAATGTTGTCACTGCGTTGTCGCTAATTCTGTGTCGCTAATGCTCATTTGTGATAACTTATAAAATATTGTCACTTTAGATTTTAGTTAAAGTGACAACATATACATTGTCACTTAATATAGTTTTCTAGTGATGAAATTCATCTTGGCACATACTTTGTTGTCACTAATTAATATTTTTCTTGTAGTGGATACACATACTTAATGGAAGGATTTTTTGGTCATTTCACCTCAAATTTTGCGGGGGCCTCTCTCTCAGTGCAATTTGCCCTAAAAAAACTGTAAGAGTAATTCCTCAAGAGCAAGATGCTTACGGAAAATAATATTAATATATATGTATATATATATATATATATATATATATATATATATATATATATATATATATATATATATATATATATATATATATATATATATATATATATATATATATATATATATATATATATATATATATATATATATATATATATATATATATATATATATATATATATATATATATATATATATATATATATATGAGAAAGAGACTCGAGTCTTGAAGTCAAGGTCTTCTTTGATTTAGATGTGTCCAAGTAAACTTATTCATGCGTAGACTTTGGTGTTGACTTGGAATTTTCATATGCTGCTATGAATATACACACACACACACACAGCCAAAATCAAGAAACAAGCATCACCACCATTCAAGAAACAATGGCAAAATCCATCAATATTTTTTCTTTCTTAATCTTTTTTTCTCTTGCCCTATACAGTCCAGCAACATGTTCCAGAAGCAACCAAACAGACTTACTGTCATTATTGGCCTTCAAAGAAGCCGTTGATGTCGATCCAAACGGAGCTCTGAACTCGTGGAATCAAACTACAAACTTCTGCACGTGGAACGGAATCACATGCGGTCGTAAGCTTCCGAACCGAGTTGTTGCCATAAACTTGGATTCTCAAGGCTTGATTGGTTCACTCTCATCTCATGTAGGTAATCTCTCATTCCTTAGACGAATCGATATCCGAAACAATAGCTTCAACGGCCGAATTCCTCAGGAAATTGGTCTTCTAAGACGACTCGAGTATCTAGAGGTTAGCAACAATTCTTTCCTAGGAACAATACCCAAGAATATTTCCCAATGTAGAAATCTAATATATATGAACTTGATCGACAACAATCTCTCCGGGCCCATACCTCCGGAGCTTCAATTTCTGGAGAAACTAAGCGATCTAGGGTTGGCCAAGAACAAAATTTCAGGACTAATCCCACAATTTATTGGAAACCTAACATCTCTAAGACGACTTAGTTTAAGGTCTTGCGACTTGAATGGAGAAATTCCGGAATCTTTGGCCCAACTTCGGAGACTAAGGTTTCTTATTTTGGGAGACAACAATCTCACAGGCACCATTCCTCCGAGTCTCTTCAATATATCTACTATCGAGTATTTTAATGTTGATATTAATAGTCTTTATGGTTCAATACCCTCTAATATAGGCCTCACTCTACCTAATTTGAGGTTTCTGAGTTTGGGGATGAATCAATTTAGTGGGAGTCTTCCGATTTCCCTCTCGAATGCGTCTTTACTTGAAAACATCGTGTTATCTTTGAACCATTTTAGTGGTCCCATGCCAATGTTTGAAAGCCTATCGCGGCTTATTACCTTATACGCCGGGGAAACCTTAATTGAAGATGATATCAGTTTCATTTCATCACTCACTAACTGCACGCAACTACGAATTCTTGACCTTTCAAGCCCATTTATTAATGGTACGATTCCCGAAAGCATCGGAAATCTCTCTGTTTATCTTGAGTACATGGGAATCGGGGGTACTCAAGTACGTGGAAATATTCCATCGGGTATCGAAAACCTTGTCGGTCTCACTTCCTTGTATCTTTCAAATAGTTACTTTGAGGGTTCGATTCCTCCGGGCATTGGGAAACTTTTTAATCTGAATATTCTAAACTTGGCGGAAAATAGATTTACCGGTGAGTTACCATCTTTATTTGGAAACTTGAGTTTGATTAATAAATTAAACTTGCGCGGAAACAATTTTTCGGGGGCGATCCCTAAGAGTCTTGGTAACTGCACTAACATGCTACAACTAGATCTTTCCGAAAACAACTTCAATGGCCCGATACCTCCAGAGATTCTTATTTCCACCATTTCTATTTCATTGTATCTATCTTACAATGCATTCACGGGTTCGATTCCAGTTGAAGTTGGGTCTTTGAGAAATCTAGCGAGATTAGATTTCTCAAACAATAGATTGTCTGGACTTATTCCCGACTCTTTAGGAAAGTGCGTTAGCTTGGAAGAACTTCACCTCGAGGGCAATTTACTTGAAGGACACATACCTCAAGGCCTAAGTTCATTGATGGGATTAACAAATTTGGATCTTTCACGAAATAATTTGTCCGGGACAATCCCGAGTTTCCTTGATTTGCTACAACTCCAACAATTGAATTTATCTTTCAATAGCTTCCAAGGACAAGTTCCGACGACCGGAGTGTTTAAAAATAAGACCGCAATTTCCCTGCAAGGGAACAATGAATTGTGTGGAGGAATTCTTGAGTTGGACCTTCGTCCGTGCACTTCATCATCGGTTTCCGCGAAGAAGAAAATCTTACCTACTCTCGTAAAAATTGTGATCCCAATAGCTGGAGTTGCAGCACTACTATGCCTCGTCGTTTTTCTCTACAAGAGAAGAACACCGAAAAAAAATACATCTTCTCCGCCATCTTTGAATAGAGTTCCTTTCTTGAGGCTTTCATATTCCGATCTACTTAAAGCAACGGGCGGATTCGCCGAAACTAGCCTAGTCGGTGTCGGAAGTTTTGGTTCTGTTTACAAAGGCATTCTCGACGACGGGATGAAAACTATCGCCGTGAAAGTGCTGAATCTTGTGGTGAGAGGGGCCTCTAAGAGCTTCATGGCGGAGTGCAATGCGTTAAGAGACATAAGACACAGAAATCTCGTGAAAATATTGAGTGTTTGTGAAACCATAGACTTCCAAGGAAACGACTTCAAAGCGATCATCTACGAGTTCAAAACTAACGGGAGTTTAGATAAATGGTTGTACTACAACCGTGAACAAGAACAAGAATCGGACGCACAGCTTAGAAACCTCGACATGGCTGAGAGGCTCAACATTGCCTTCGATGTTGCTCAAGCGCTCGAATATCTCCATTCGGGTACCGAGTCAACAATTGTTCACGGCGATCTGAAGCCGAGTAATGTTCTTTTGGATCAAGATATGGTGGCTTGTGTCGGTGATTTCGGTCTAGCGAAAATTATTTCAAGCATACTTCCAACGCAAGAAAGCAGTAACACAATCGGAATCAAGGGTACCTTCGGTTACGTTCCACCAGGTATATAACTTCATTATTAATTGTTTCTCATCTTCAATAAACTCTGTTTCTACAAGCTTTATATCGAATAATTAATTCTTGAATCTACGTGCAGAGTATGGCATGAGTAACTCGATCTCGACTAAAGGGGATGTGTATAGCTACGGTATTCTTGTTTTGGAGATGTTCACGAATAAAAGACCAACCGATGATTTGTTTAACGAACATGTCAATCTCCACAATTTCGTTAATGCGGCGTTTCCTGATCGTATAATGGAAATTGTGGATCCTCACATTGGAAGAGGCTCGGACGAGAATAATAGTAAGATCGAGAAATGTGTGTCTTCTATTATGAGAATCGGGTTGTCGTGTTCGAAAGAATTGCCGAGCGATAGGATGTCCATGAAAGATGTTGTTAAGGAATTGCATAAGATTAAAAAAGAACTATCTAGCTAGTTGAAGAACAGAGTTGGGATTCCCTTTTCTTGTGTTTCTTTTTTTTTTTTTTTTTTTGGTTTTGTTATTTGTACTTCATATTGTACAAGTTTAAAAGTTTGATTATAAAACTTGTAATGTAATTTCTTTTGATTTTTGATTATATTGGAAATGTTTGACTATATATATTTAGGTTTTGTGCAAAAACCAACCATGTGTAATCATGTATGGCCGACAAAACCCTCGGTTTTTTTTTGGGAAAGGGATAACAAAGCCCCCCTATGAAAATTAGTCAAAGGCAACAAGGACCTTAACAACTTATCGTATGCTACACGGGCGGATTTTGTGTATGGGTGTGCATTTTTGACCCTGTAAAGACCAAAATATCATTTCAATTATAAATTTCAGAAATTACACATTCAAAAAGAAAAGAAAAAAAAAATTCAGACCCAAATGAAGTTTTTCAATTCAGGCCTTAGCACTTCTAGAAAAGTCATCTTCTTCAAATTAATCCAATTTTTTTTTTTCTTCAAGAGACGACAAGACGTAACAAGTTACTTCTTTCATTGATCTTGAACTATGTAAACACTGATTCGTACACGGATAAGTGTTGAATGTAAATTTTACGCTCAATACGTTTACTTTACGTGGATCTTTTGTTTAGATTTAATTATATTTGTGCTTTTAATTGATTGATTTTGTGTTTTATAGGTGAAAACGATAATTAGGTGTCCATGAAGGAAAAAAGATCAAAAAGAAAGGAAAAAGTTGCAAATAAGAAAATAAATCGAATTGGAAGAAGGAATCTCGCCACAGCTTTGGCAGTGTCCACCATTTTGAGCATATCTCTCTCATACGAACTCCAAATCAGCTGATTTTGGCGGCATTGGAAAGATAATTTCAAGGGCTACAATTCTTATTTACGCAACATTCCAAAATTCGGACTCCAACATGGCGAAAATCGAAGAACAAATCCTGATGGAGGAAAGTGGCGGAAATTGATTCCTATTAGGATTCTACTACTTCCTTATCAAGAAAAGCCTATAAAAGCAACAAGTCCCTACACCATAAGGACGAAATTTGGCACCATAAAATACGAGGAAGGAAGATCAACGAAGACTCGAGCATAGTTTTCTTATTTAATTTATTTATTTTATTTTCTTTATCATAAAAATCACGAGTAGCTAAGTCTTTAGTTTCTAGGATTTTATTTGGAACCCTATGTGGGATTTATGAACCCTTTTCTATGATTTTATGCAAGTTTTAATTCCGGATTATTTCTTCTACTTGTTTTATTAAGTGCATGAACTTGATCAACTTATGTGCTTTTATGTTATTGTTAATCGCATGAATCGGAAGATCGGGTTAATAATTAGAACTGTGGTAGAAGAGCCTTTGTGGTATTAACATAGGAATATAGTTAATCTCTTAGGTAGTCATTATTGAGATTTGTGCTTAATGCTTTGTTCTAGAATTAATTGCATAGGAATATAGTAATTGAATCTAGAGTATTAGAATTGTAATACACGCGGAAGCGAGTTATGATTATTTTAGCATCTCAGGTTAATAATCCGGGTTAATTGCTTGCATAACTGAAGGAATTGGGGGAGTAATAATCACATAGGGGGAAGAATAAAATCCTAGGCTTGTCTACTTTGATTAATCTTCGTATTTTAAATTGCTTTCTTGTTTTTGCTTGTTTTTAATTTAATTTAATTTAGTTTATTAATCCTTTTTCGACTGTGTAGGGTGGGCTTGATAACAATTGGTAGAATTTAGCGTATAGGATTATATAATTAAATATTCCCTGTGGGTTCGATACTTGGACTTAAAAAATCCACTTTATTACTTGTACGATACGTGCACTTGCGTGTAGGTTTTCGGCCAACAAGTTTTTGGCGCCGTTGCCGGGGAATATTTTAATTATTTATTTTATTCTAGCTCTAAATTTGAACAATTTTCACGATTCACCCAATTTAATTTTTTTTTTAATTTTATCTTTTTCGTTTTAATATATATATTTTTTTCTTTGGTTACATGTCAGGTTACAATTTTCACGCACCTCAAACGGGATATGAATGGCTTCCGTCTGGCGAATACCTCCAAAATACCTATGATATGCCGTCCCTTTGTTCAATATGTGGTGGAGATCATTACACTAACCAATGTTGGTATGCACCGAAAGCGAATAATTTCATAGATAACACCAACGGCGGTTATTGGAACACATACACCAACACGCCACGAGAACCCACTGTTCAGGAGTGTTATTTGAACTCCGTCCTTGAAGAATTTATGAAATCCACTCAAGCATCTATCCGAAGACTGGAATTGCAGTTGGAAGAATTCAAGCGCCAAAGGTCTCTTGAAAATATTTCAGACGATATCGAGAATAGTTGCAACAAAGAAAATCCGTCTGAAACTTGTAGTGAGGAAAATCCTTTAGACCTAGAAAATAGTGTCGATGAGAGGGAAAAAGAAATTACGAAGACGCTTAAGGATGATGAATCTGACAATGCAATCGAGCTCAACTCCAAAGATGTCTCGGAACAAGAGAAGAAGGAGATGGATGTGGTTAGTGCAAATATTCAAATTGAGGATCTTATCATTGTACCCGACGTGGCTTTGAAGGCATCAATAGAGGTTGATGAGAAGACGAATGTGTTTGCAGTGGAGGTTATACGCGGACTTGAGATTTTTTTGTACCGATTTGAGGGAGCGGGTGATGAAGATCCCATTTTGGCTTCGTACCGATTGATTACAACCAAGAAAGATTACAAGCTAAAGTGGACCCTGACATATTGCAATCCTATCCCTGTATCGGTTGCAATTGAAGTGACAAAGCTCATGGATGGATGCGCAATCTACAAGGCTTTGGATTGGACATAACGATTTCAAAAAGCAAAGTCCGGCTGAAGACTTAAAACTTAGCGCTTCTTGGGAGGCAACCCGAGCATTTATCGTTTTTCTTTTCTCATATTTTTTCATATTTTTAGTTGTTTTTAATTTTCTTAGAATATATATAAGCGTGCAATCTAATAATTTAATCATGTTTTTATTTTTAGGTCGAAAAACGGACACAAAAAGCCTAGACGGGCGTCCGAAAATCAAGCCAAAACCCCAGACGGCCGTCCGGAGAAGTTACGACGATTTTTGAACCTACTGTTTGTGGGACGGCCGTCCCAAAAACAGTGTAAAATGTGGGACGGCCCTCCGAACACCCCTGGAGAATTTTTTTTTTTATTTTTTTTTTTCGAAAAAAATTAGAAAAAAAAAAAAAAGGTGTTTGCTTCAAAGAGGAAGAGATGGAGGGGTGCAACACGTGGAGGACGTTTCGACTAATCAAGGTGTATTCTTTCCTTAAACTTCGTTTTAATTACATTGAGGACAATGTAAATTTTAAGTTTGGGGGTGGAAAAACACTTTTTATGTGCTTTATATGTCTTAGATTGCATGCTTTAGGATTTTTCTTTTCCTTTTTAGTCGTTTTTGTTTATTTATTGTTTTATTTACAAAAAAAAAAAAAAAAAAAAAGAAATTGCTTGAGTCGAACGCATCGATGAGTTATGATGATGAGAGATGATTAATGTTTGATGTTGAAATTGCTTGTTTGTGTGATAAGGATTAGATGTTTGTTTAGCTTTCGATTTAACGGAACTTAGAAGCGAATTATTGCTAGGAATCACACTTTGTGCATTGCTTTGGTTGAATGTTTTGTATCTTAAATTTGGAATTAATTTGTGCTAGATCATGCTATGTTCGGTTTTAGAACTCACCGTAGGAAATTTATGATACGAAGTATTGAGTAGTGAGTGATTTGGGATATGATTTGGGCCTTCTTTGAACCGTTTGAGACTTTCAAGCCGACCTATTTATCGAAATTATCCTTATAACCTTGATTTGAGCCTCGGAGAAAAGGTGTTCTTTCTTTTAGCCAATGTGTAAGGTAGAATAGGTGGAGATTCTTGAAAAATTACCCCTTGGAGTTCGGTCGAAATTTTTTTATAAGGTCCTTCCTCTTCTTCTTCTTCGAAAAAAAAAAAAAAAAAAAGAGAAAAAAAAAAAGAGAAAAAGAAGAAGAAGAGGAGACTAGAAGTGAGAAATAAGGACTAGTTGTTGAATTATTTTTGAAAACTCGATCCATTGCCTCAAAAGCAAAAGTGGAGACTTTTGAACTTTTGAGAATCGAGTTTACTAAAGTCCGTAGAGGTGAATTCATTGTTTCAAACGCCTATCTTTCAAATTTTGGCGTAATCACCTAAATTCAAGAAGAATAGCCACATATACCCATATTTCCTACCTCGAACCAAAGAGCCTAACAATTGAAAGCCACAAAGCCCCAATGATCCCAATAGCTTAATGTTCGATATTAGTAGATTAGAATAATTTGGTGAGTATTTGGAGTCAAGCATAAGCATGTAAGTATAAATTATTTCTATCTTTAATTTGCAAATATTGGATGCTTGAAGCAATTGTATGAATTGTGGTTTTTGGCTATGGTAAGTGACTAAGTGCTTTTGAATTTTGAGCTTGCGAATGCCTAAGAATTTTCATTATAATTACAAGTTCTGAAAGCGTGAAGTTGGTCATTAATCTATGTGATTGGATGCGGTAGTTGAGTTATTTGCTTACGATTAGATTTTGCTTGAGGACAAGCAAAAGTTCAAGTTTGGGGGTGTGTTGAGTGTAAATTTTACGCTCAATACGTTTACTTTACGTGGATCTTTTGTTTAGATTTAATTATATTTGTGCTTTTAATTGATTGATTTTGTGTTTTATAGGTGAAAACGATAATTAGGTGTCCATGAAGGAAAAAAGATCAAAAAGAAAGGAAAAAGTTGCAAATAAGAAAATAAATCGAATTGGAAGAAGGAATCTCGCCACAGCTTTGGCAGTGTCCACCATTTTGAGCATATCTCTCTCATACGAACTCCAAATCAGCTGATTTTGGCGGCATTGGAAAGATAATTTCAAGGGCTACAATTCTTATTTACGCAACATTCCAAAATTCGGACTCCAACATGGCGAAAATCGAAGAACAAATCCTGATGGAGGAAAGTGGCGGAAATTGATTCCTATTAGGATTCTACTACTTCCTTATCAAGAAAAGCCTATAAAAGCAACAAGTCCCTACACCATAAGGACGAAATTTGGCACCATAAAATACGAGGAAGGAAGATCAACGAAG